GTTAACTAAGTGTTGGAAAAGTCAGTTATTGAATAAATGAATGAACAAATGAGTGAATGAAAGGGAGAAAAGACCACTAGCTTTAACATTTTTGGAATAGTCATATGAAAACAAATTTTAAATCTATGACCATTCAAAATTTCCACGTAATTAAAAATAATTCTCAGATAAGCATCACCCCCACAAACACACTCACATACGATCACTAAAATAACTCAGATTGCATAATAAGCAGTAGAAGCATTATTGGAAGAGATGGGAAAAATAAGTCTTTAAAAGCAATAATGATCTTTACAGGTCCCACCTATGAATTTATCTTCTTCTGGGCTCTTAGCATCTTGTATCAAATGCTACCTATTCACTGCCACTAGAAAAGTCCCCAGAAAGATGGTTCTAGGCATGCCTACAAGCTTGCCACCAAGAAAAATGTTTCTACCCATGCATCTCCTCCCCCAAACCAGCTTAATCCACATATCGACTGTTAGCAACTCAGCCCTAACTCGCTTTATCACGGTCACAAGAGAAGTTAGTGAGAAAAGCACTAACCAGGGGAACAAAAAACAAAGGCAACCAGGCCAAGTGGGCTGACAGCAACATCTGTTTCTTATGCTCGGGCACATAAGTTATACCACACTTAATGTGGTATACACTCACCACAGTGCCTTTTTCACGGACACCTCTTTAATTTTATCCACAAAATCCATCAGGTTAAGTTAGTTTGTGATTTTTCAAAATAAAAAAAATCCAGACAAAAAAAAATGCAATATGTCTTCCAGTCTGGGATTCTTGAAAAATAGGTCTACGGGTAAAAAAAAAGGGGAAAAAAAAAAAAAAAAAAAAAAAAAACATGTAGGAAAAGCAAAGCATTGAAAAGCAAACCATATTCTACAAACATAATAATGAATGGCATACATAAGGTAATATGACATAAAACCAAAAAAGCAACTACATTTATGACTATTCTCTTTAGTGTACAAATCCATGGCAGCTTCTGGATTCTCTAGCTACACAAAACATATACACGTTGAAAAAATATCTCTCCACACACACACACACACACACACACACACACACACACACACACACACACACACTGT